TTGCTGACCTTGACCTTGATATCCTCCCAATGCTAATTCCTTGCCAGATTCCACCCTCCTAAATGCTTAAAGGAAATTCCTTGTCTATGTATCCTGAATAATGGGCCTTAACAGCTTAGATGCCAGATTGTAAAACATCCCTAGCAAACTTCTGCCCTCTGGGGTTCTCCCATTGTGCTGTAAGCCTGTATTTAAGACCTCCTCCCTCCTTCAATAAATGACATTCGGCATTAAATAAAAAAAAAAAAAAGAAAATAGTACATACATTATAATATCACACTGTGGGATTCCACAGTGACTCCAGCTTGTGACTTGAGTCCATCTCGACTCAAGGTCAGAGAGTTCAAGCTTGTTTTTGCTTCTTAGGGTTGAATAACAGGATGATTGGCCAAAGGCATGGTTACTAGATGTTTTGAGAATTAAGGAGGTGTTTACATTTGTTTGTTCCTTGAACCATGGTAAGGAAATCTTTTGCCCCTCCTTGCTTTGGATATAAAAAGGCTATGAGAAATAAATTCGGGACTGCTGCAGTATTCACTGAGAGCCCTCCTGATTCTAAAAAAAAAAAAAAGACAAGAAAAGAAAAGAAAGAAATATTTCCCTACCAAATAGCCATCCCAAGCAGATGAACTTATTATGGAAAATAATCATTAAAGAGGATATCATAAAGAGAAGTAAGTGAAAGGGGAAAAAAAAAGAAGTCTTGGTGATATTTTTGCGATATATATATATATATATATTCCTAAATGATTTATGATTTTCTTACGTGCTTCCAAGAACTCCTAACAATGTATTTGTCTAAAATGTCTATCAAGCATCCAAGGCCATAAGAAACAACATCTGTCTCCTAGGTCAGGCGGATAGCTTTATTTCTTGTGCAATTTAGGGTGAGACCCTCCTTTCTTATACAACCTTACTTCTTACCTAACCACTTTTAGGAATGTAGACTGGGCACATAGATCCCCTTTTTGATATACTAACTCGTCATTAGCACTCAGTTGACCTCCTCTTTTTACCACTCCCATTTGGGTTGTAAAAGAAAGCCTGGTGGTCACTGCCTGAGGAAAATTCTGCCTCTATGACCCTGTAGAATTCAAGCCTGGTGACCTTGCTCAGCCAGAGGATCACTATGGCTTGGATTTATAACTGAATACCCTAGAGAACTGGGAGAGATGAGAACTGAGATGGAGAAAGAGGATTTTGACTAGAGAATTTGAGGACAAGACAGAGAAAAGAGAACAGAAGAACTAGATGGGTAAGAACTGGAGAGGAATGAACTGAGATGGGGAAGAACTAGATTGAAGGGCTAGAAGACAATATTAGAGGAACGAGATGGAAGAGAAGGGGATGGGAGAGGAGCTGATATGGGAAGGAACTAGATGAATGAGAACCTAGATGGGGCGGGTTTAAGATGAAGGAATTAAGATAGAACTTAGAGGAGACAGCAGATAAATCAGGCAAGAAAGGAGCCAGGCACGAGAGCAGAATAGAAGCTGTGTAGAGAGAGAACTGACAGAATAATAAAGTGTATGGACTAAGGAGTTTTATGTACATAGATTCATTTCTTATCATCAAAGATTAATTATCAGCTGATTGTAGATTCTTCCCGGACCCCTCAAGTCACCGATACAGGACAGCCAGGGTTGTTACATAGAGAAACTCTGCTGTGGATAATGCTCTTGTACACTGTAAAGATTTGTCACTCGGATTGGTTTAATAAAATGCTGATTGGCCGGGAGCTGGGCAGGAAGTTAGGTGGGAAAGCCAAACTGAGAATGATGGGAAGGAGGAGGGCGGAGTCAGGAGTCGCAAGCCAGATGCAGAGGAAGCAAGATGAGAATGCAGTGCTGAGAAAAGTTTTTTTTTTCCAGAGCTGAGGACCAAACCCAGGGTCTTGTGCTTGCTGAGCTAAACCCCCAACCCCGAGAAAAGGCTGTTAAGTGTAAGAGTTAGTTATTAATAAGCCTGAGCTACTGGCTGAGCATTTATAATTAATAGTAAGCCTTGGAGTCAATTATTTAAGAAGCAGCTGCCGGGCATTTGGGAACAGGCAGGCAGGAGAGAAACTTCTGCCTACAAAACCCTGTCTCAAAACACCCCTCCAAAAAACAAAACAAAAATAGAATACCCCCCTCAAAAAAAAAAAAGGAAAGAAGGAAAGAAAAAGAGAGAGAGAAAGGAAGAAAAGAAAGAAAGAAAGAAAGAAAGAAAGAAAGAAAGAAAGAAAGAAAGAAAGAAAGAAAGAAAGAAAGAAGGAAAGAGGGAAAAGGAAACAGGCCCCTGTGGCTCATGCCTATAATCCAGCAGCTGGGGACAAGGCAGGAGAGCCACAATCTGAGGCCTGCCTGAGCATGTCATAAAACAACCACAAGGAAACAGAAGAAAGCCAGGAGGGAAAATGAAGAGGAACAGGAGAGGGGGAAAAGGAAAAGAAGGAGAGAGAGAGAGAGAGAGAGAGAGAGAGAGAGAGAGAGAGAGAGAGGAAGAAAGGAGCCTGCTATGGGGACACGCCTGGAACTCCAGTTCTTGGGAGACTGGAGCCGTGGGATCAGGCCAGCTTGCAGCTTTAGCTACATAGTGAGTTCAAACTAGCCTGATTTCCATGAAACCCTGACTCAAAAACAGCAGATCACGGTGGCACATCCCTTTAATCCCAGCACTCAGGAGGCAGAGGCAGGTGGATCTCTGTGAGCTCAAGGCTAGCCTGGTCTACATAGTGAGTTCTAGGACTGCCAGGACTACATAGAGAGATTCAGTCTCAAAAAACAAAAAAGAAAAGAAAAGAAAACAACAACAAACAAACATAAACAGAAATGAAACAAAAGAAAAATTTGAGCATATGAGGGCTTTTCTCCCCTTATTATTCCCCAAAGGATGTAATCTAACAAATACTTAGCATTCACATCACATTGGGTATCATCATAAGTAATCTAGAGGTGTTTTCAGTGCAGGGATAGGGGCTGTGCTTTGGGAATATGTGACCACGGGTCCTAGAAGGAACTCCCGGTAAACATCCACAAAGGACTGTAGCTGATCTCTCGGTGACTCACTGAAGTGAGACACTGCCCTTGGTTCCCACTTTCAGGAGAGGCTGGCCGAGCCCTAGGGGAGTATGGACATCTCAGCCAGGGCCTGTGGGGGATCAAGTCAGAAACCCGGCACGTCAGGTTTTCTGACCCCAAACTTACTCAGGCCCAAGTTCTAGTTAAGGCACCTGGCCCAGGGGAAGTGGAACAGTGATGGAAAAGGAGGTCAGCCCAGGGGGAGGGGCCAGGTGTAGGGGCGAGGCCAGGGTGGGGGAGGGGCCAGATGTGGGGGAGGGTGGGCGGACTCAGACAGAAATCGAAGTGGGGTTCTGCGGCTCAGGTAGGTCAGAGCCGCAGCAGCCAGGCTGGCAGAGACCTGGTGAGTCTGGATCGAGGACAGCCCTGCACTCCAGCGGGGAGCCACCTAGGCCCTGTTGTAAGCCTATGACAGACACATCTGTGGCCTAGAACAAGGCTGAATATAAAGAGCTCCTGCATCTGGGCGCCTTTGAGAGGTTCCCATGGCAACAGCTAGCTCGCCTGTGGTCTGTCCTTGGGCCCAGCAGAGGAGACTGGGAACAGCTCTCAGAGGTACTAACTGACTCTCAGAAGCTCCTAGGGACAGACAGGACCGGGGTGACTTGTCATTCTCTCACAAGTGGGGGGTGGAAGGGAGCGGGGCCCGAGGCTGCAGGAGGCAGAGAGAGAGGCAGGCCACGGGTGGCAAAGGCTGGGTTGAAGGCATGTGGGGAAGCTGGAAACTCAGTGGGAGAGGGATGAGAAGCGGGAACAGAAGGAGAAAGAACAGATCTCGGCCCCTGGGGAAGCAGTGCTGGGCACCGGCTCAAGGAAAACTAAGTTTTCCACTTAGAAGTAGAAGGCCCTGGAAAGGATGTGGTGGGTGGCACATGACTTTAGTCCCAGCGACTCAGGCAGGATTGGAAGTTTGAGGCCGGCCAGGGATCTACAGCAATATCCTGTCTCAAAATAAAAATAGGAGGTGCCGCTCCTCGGGGAGCCCTGGGTTCACTCCAAAGAGAAGGGGAGGGGAGGGGATGAGGGAGGGAGAAGAGGGGAGGAGAGAGGAGTGAGGGAGAGGAGAAGGAAGAGGGGGGAGAACAGAAGAGGTGGGGGGAGAGGAGAGGGGTGAGGCCCAAGACTATCCTCAACTCCAGCGGTGGCACCCCTACCAGGTCCCCAGAGCCGCTCTGAGGACAGCATGCCTCCGCCCCCGAAACTCCCAGGGCAAGGGCTGAAAGCTAAGCCAAACACCCAGCCCAGACCCTAGAGAGCCAACAGGGACCAGTGGCAGCACGCAGTGACTCTGCTCCTAGGATCCCCCTGCCCTGCAGTGCCTGCCCCCAAGTCCACAAGCACGGGGGCCAGGGGGCAGGGGGCCGGGGTCCGGGGGCTGGGGGACCCGGGGGCAGGGGGCCGGGGGCCAGGGGGC